TCTGATCTCAACAACGCCTTTTGAACGAATTGCATGACATATGTAGAAGAACTACAACAAGACTCTCCCAAGTCTAGTAATTACACAAATAAGCAAGTTCGCTTTTTATGTTGGGTCCTTCATGTCATGGATAGGGGAACTTTAATGATACACGTCTGGCATCGGTACTCTCCTCTCATATGTCGATTCCATTCTCGTCTAGAGGGAAGACATTATGTGAGTTGGCAATCGCACCCAAAATATGGACTCTCACATACCATCAATGGTCTTTTATGGCCTATTTAGAAGAACTTTAGTGGCACACACCAGATTCTGGATCTCAACAACGTCTTTTGAAAGTCATTCATGGCATATGTAGAAGGACTTCAATGAGACACCCCCAAGCCTACTAATCACACAAAGAAGCAACCTTGATTTCTATGTCGGGCCCTTAACGTCAAGCTTAGGAGAACTTTAACAATACACTATAGAGATCGGGACTCCCCTCTCCTATGTTCATACCATTGTTGGCTAACGGAAAGTTTTTTTTTTGAGTTAGCAATCGCATCCAAAATATGAACTTTGACATACTATGACCTGTCTTTTATGGATTAGGTAGAAGAACTTTAGTGGCACACACCGGAGTCTCGATCTCAACAACATTTTTGATGGCATATGTAGAAGAACTGCAATGAGACACATCCAAGTCTATTAATCACACCAAGGAGCTACCTCGATTTATATGTTGGGCCCTTCACGTCATATATAGATGAAGCGAGTTTAAGTACGGTCCATATATAGATGAAAAATAATATGGGAACAATGACCGAAAAATTTCTAAGATAAGATGGGAGCAGACGACAATAACCTCTGTCATGGTGATTAACTTGCCGAGAATAATGCATAACCGTAGTGTCTAGACATTGCGAGGAGTTCGAGTGGCTGCGAGCTAGCAGGAGAGACGAATCTAGCTTAGCGGTGAATGAAAGAGGAACGACAAGGACGAGAGCAGCGAGCACAAGATAGAGTAAAGTGTTGTAGATAGGGATGGCTAAAGTATGAGGTAAATACACTGATGGTGCTTGAACTTGCCATGGACGTTCATTTTAGTGTGTGAACTTGAAAAATACATAGAACTGGTTCTATAACTTGGCATGTACGTGCAAATACGGTTCAAATCTCATATGTATACATCCATGACGCTGATGAGGCGTTCCAACATGGCACGTGGCCCGCTGTCAGTGACTGGATGGCAGGAAAGTGGGCGTGTGGCCTAGTTTTTCAGGAAGCCCCTGAAATTATTATTTTTCTTAGAAATAGGACCTTGGAGAGAAACAGCAGACATCTGTAGAATAAAAATTACAACTGTAGGGAGTTTGAACATGGGTACTGTTGTTACGATGCATGTGTGGCTAGCCAATCGACTACCAAACACTTGATGTTTGGAGGGATTGACACCCTTTATATACACTAGGCGGAACAACATAAATTAAAGAAGTTTAATCCATAAAAAATAGTGCCGGGTCTGTGATTCAAACATCCGGCCAAATGCTATATAGCAACCTTGGATACCACTCCAACCAAAAAGATCTCATGTTTCTAAAGTATAATTAATATTTATGACTGTATAACAAACATAATTTGAAATAATTTGAAAATTTACGTGTCATTTTAAAAAGTATCCAAGTGTTACTTAAAAACATAATCATACAATTTAAAATATTTATAAATTGTAACAAATTATATGAATCAAATATTATTCATGTAACGATCTGCAATCTGAGGGCGCACTAGAACACACAAACTTTTATATACTATATAAGCTTTTTAAAACAACACAATTTTTTTAAAGCATGAACACTTTTATGTACTACATGATTATTTTATTAAAAACATGGAAAATTTGAAACAAATACGAGAATTTATTTAAATATACGAAAATTTCTAAAATTACTTTAATATTTTATTAAAAATGAGAGCACTTTAGAATTATAAAATTATTTTCGTAAAGTATTTTTGTTATGTGTAGATATTTTATGAAATTATACAACTTTTCAAATATATTTTTTATAACACATGATTATAATTTACATGTTTTTGGAAATTTCTAAATGGAAAAAATGAACACGTTGAAAGTGGGTCGTGGTGTGGTTTGTTTTACCCACACGAGCACATTATGTTGTAAAGATAAATTTATCTTTTGTAACATTATGTTTCTTGGGTTGTATTCATATGTGGGGCCGCTATATAACCTTAGGATACATGTTCGAATAATTGACCCATTATTATTTTTGTTGGAATAAATTACTTTGTTTATGTCGATCAGCCTTATGGTATATAAAGTATTCAAACATTTACATGTGTATAAGGCCTTGTACAATGGAAGATGCTTAGGGAAGGTGCTTAGAGAAATAAACCGGCTGTTTTTTAAGCACCGGTGCTTATTTGTACAAGATAAACGCTTAACTAAGCGTCTCTCCTATAGAAATAAGCACCGGTGCTTTAGAAAAACCCGGTTTATTTTTCTAAGCATCTCTCTAAGCACCTCCCATTGTATAAGGTCTAAATGTGATTAGCTCTACTGGTTAGCCACGCCTCATGCGAGCGATAGGTCGCGGGTTTGAACAACCCCCCCCCCCACCCTACCAGTCTTTTCAAAATTTGTGTTGTTTCTCTCCTATTTGTAAGAAAAAAATATAATTCCAGGGTGTTTTTGAAAAGAAAATAAACAGGTCACGCGCCCTCCTCACTGCCATCTGGTCGCTGACAACGGGCCTAATGCCATTTTGGCTGCCACATCAGCATGGTGGATATATACATATGAGATGTGAACCGCATCCGCACGTCCATGTCAAGTTATGGAACCAGTTCCATGTATTTTGCAAGTTCAGACACTAAAGTGCACATTCATGGCAAGTTCAAGCACCAGTGGTGTAATTACCTCCTAAAGTATCGATCCGTGAAGTAGGGAAACTGTACCTCGCTTGCGTCGAACTTTCCGTCTTCAGTCAGAGAACTTTATATCGTCCAAACGATTACCAGATTGCGCTAAAAAATCAAACTGGTCCATGAAAACTGTCCACCCACCTTAATTAGTGTGCGGCTCATTATTTGTGCATAACAGTTCTTAGCGATGTACTGTCACCTAAATGAGTGCATCGTGGGAAAAGGTAGCATGCGTCAGGCATGTGGTACCATGTGTACGACAGAGAGGAAGTAATATACTCCCTCCGGTCCTTTTTACTCTGCACATTGGTTTTGCCGAAAGTCAAACTTTGCTAAGTTTGACCAAATTTATATTAAAAATTATTAGCACCTATACTATCTAATAAATATAATATGAAAATATATTCCAAGATGAATCTAAAGATATTGGTGTTGTTATGTGAATGTTTATAATTTTTTATATAAATTTGGTCAAAGTTGAATGAGATTGACTTCGGACAAACCTAATATGCAGAGTAAAAAGGACCGGAGGGAGTACATAGGACCTCCTAACAAAGGAATCTAGAGGACCTCGTATGTAATACGGCAGAAAATACGAGCTATAGAAATGCATGGCTGACAATGAGTGGGCCTATGCGATTGGACAGCACGCAAGATGAAGGGTGAGGATACAAGTTATGCGCGCAATGTGTTAGGAAAAATCCACTGAGCTTTACATGTCCGTCCTCTGCTGCTCCGAGACAAAGTAGATGTAGGCATAGCCAAACAAAATAGCCGGCGGAACGCCTGTGCGAAGCAACAAGCTGCTAGCACCTGAAGCCATGGCCAATGGACACCGTGCTCCACTCGCGGCCTGCGTCTTTCTCATCTGCGCCTCCGCCGCAGCCACGATCATCGTCGTCTACACCGCCTTCCTGGTCTCCCTAAACCCATGCACTTACTCTCTGCCCAGAGCGCTCATCACCGTCTCCGGCCTCGACCCGTACATCGTCTCATGCGCAGGCGACGCCGACACCGCCCCACTCTCCGACGGCAGCGGCGGCAAGAAGAAGATTGGCGGTCCTCTCGTGACCAGCCTGCACACGTGCCTCAAGGTGACGCTGCCACCGCACCCGATCCCGCCCTTCTAATGCTGCCCGCCGGCGCCCGCGTCGGAGCCGATCAACTTCACGCTCCCGGACCCGGTGGAGCCGCTGAGGGTCCGGCGGCCGATGCACGCCGTGGGGGCGGAGCACATGGCCAAGTACGAGCGCGCGATAGCTCTGATGAGGGCGCTGCCGCACAGCGACCCGCGCAGCCTCTACCAGCTGGCCAACGTCCACTGCGCCTACTGCACCGGCTCCTACCGCCAGACGGGGGACCCGGAGCTCAACATGCAGATCCACTTCTCGTGGTTCTTCCCGTTCCACCGCGCCTACCTCTACTTCTTCGAGCGCATCGCCGCGAGGCTGCTCGGGGAGCCCGGCTTCGCGCTGCCCTTCTGGGGCTGGGACGTGCCGGAGGGAATGCGGATGCCGGCGGAGTTCGCCAACTCGTCGTCGCCGCTGCACGACCCCGTGCGGAACCCGGCGCACGCGCCGCCTACAGTCGTCAACCTGGACTTCGCGCGCGTCGAGAACAACCTCACTGACGAGCAGCAGATCCAGCAGAACCTCAGGATCATGTACAAGCAGATGATCGGCAATGCGGCCCTGCCGTCCCTCTTCCACGGCCAGCTTTTCCGTGCCGGCCAGTCTGACAGGCCGGGCCCTGGGACAGTGGAAATGACCCCGCACAACACCATGCACACTTGGACCGGCGATCTGGCCTTCCACAACGTGGAGGACATGGGCACCTACTACTCCGCCGGCCGAGACCCGCTCTTCTACCCGCACCACAACAACGTCGACCGCCAGTGGGAGGCGTGGCGCGACGTCGGCGCCGCCCGCGGCTACCGTGGCCACGTCGACTTCACGGACCCTGACTGGCTCGACTCCTCCTTCGTCTTCTACGACGAGGAGGCCCGCCTGGTGTGGATCACCGTCCGCGACGTGCTCGACATCGACAAGCTCCGGTACAGGTTCGACGGCGTCGGCATGCCGTGGGCCGACGCACGTCCGCCTCCTACTCCAAACGTGAACAGAAATAAAGGCTCGTCGTCGTTGAAGTCCGTCAGGTTCCCACTGTCCCTTCACGCAGCGGTGACTGTGGAGGTAAGACGGCCGCGGGTGCTTCGAAGCCCGCGAGAGAAGGCGGTGGGCGAGGAGGTGCTGGTGGTCGAGGGCATCGAGACCGACGGCACGGAAATGGTCAAGTTTGACGTGTACGTGAACGCCATGGAGTACGAGAAGGTCGAGCCAAGCGGGCGGGAGCTGGCCGGGAGCTACCTGTGCTTGAGCCATCCCAGGATGGACGGCACAGGGAAGGCCACGAGGATAGAAACGAGCATGAGGGTGGCGTTGAACGAGCTCTTGGAAGATTTGGGTGCCGACATAGATGAGAGTCTGATAGTGACATTGGTGCCTAGACATGGAAAGGTTAAGATCGGAGGCCTTAAAATTGTTTACATGATGCAGTGAGATTTATTTATTTTTGAAGGTTTTTGTTTTGAGAACATGATGGAGTAAGATTACACCACGAACAAGGAGAAGTGTATGGATGAACCACTACAGGAAAATCCCAGTTTCCCGTGTGTTAGCCTATAAACCGAGTGCTTTTTTTCGGGCGTATGCTCCTCTAAGCCAAGTCTCGAGGAAAAAACACCCGGTAAATATGAGAAACTCGGCTTATGGTCATCTATAAGCCGTGTTTCGCAAAAAAGCTCACGACTTATATGAAACACACGGTATCTACGGGAAAAGGCACCCAGCTTACAGCACACACTCGGTAAAGACATCTGCCACGTGTCTGCAATGGTAGTGGTTGACGGTGCCGTCACGGAGCAGCCTATAAGCCGTGTGTCCAAAGCAGGCACTCGGCTTATAGGACATATAAGCCTTATAGGACATATAAGTCGTGTGCCGGACGAAAGCACTAGGCTTACATTTTTGCGGATTTTTTGCAACGCGTAACATTTGTGCAAAATTAGTTTAAGGTGGTTTTCATTGCATTTATATTTACTACTTAATTAGTATTATTATTCTAACCTATTTTCTGTCGACTAGTTTTCATGGGTCTTATTTGTGAAATTCTTAATTTAACGCCACTTTAATATTTTCATGACTCTTTAGACACCCTAGCGTACCCGCCACCACACTTCTAGACATCTAAGAGGCCCCAACGCAAGTTTTGGCGGCATGTCTAGCCCCCGGAAGCCGCCGGTCACAATTGTAGACATGCGAAGATCAATCTGCATAGAGGGAACTGTTCAGATACTTCTGCATCATATGAAAAATTACCATCCGTCTTATATCACATGTGCCCAGCCGTGTAAGAAAATCATGATTTTATCACGCTCTGAGTGTTCAATAATATTCACGCCGCACCGTTACCGCAGAACGTTTACTATATCCTGTCATCGCTGTTTGTGAGGGGGGCCACACCCGGAGCCGTGTGCTGCCTCCTCAGACATGCCACCGCCACACCTTCAGGCATGTATGAGGGCCCCACGCAATGATCCGGTGGCATTGCTACCCCCAAGACCTTTGTCCTGCCAAACCCTAAAGCGGTTGACCAGGAGATCTAACCCTTTGACTTTCGCCGGACGGGCTTTAACTAATGGACCTCTCCACCCGGTTGTGGTAGGTCAGCCCATAGGAACACTTCGGAACAAGGTCTGGGCCAAACCCACCGCAAGATTCCCTTAGTGTCGACCCGACACGGCCGTTTCCCCCCTCCAGGTGCCGGCGACGCCGCCGTCCGTGAAGGGGTCACACTCCCGAGACGCGCACCGGGTGTTGGCACCCGCCACCACACTTCTAGACGTGTAAAGAGGCCCCGACGCAAGATTTGGCGGCATGGCTAGCCTCCGTAGGCCGCCGACCACAATGGTAGAAACGCAAGAGCAATCCGCGTAGAGGGAAGTGTTCAGATACTTCTGCATCACCAAAAATTATGACAAATTACCATCCGTCCTATATCACATGTGCCCAGGACGTGTAAGAAAATCATGATTTTATTGCGCTCCGAGAGTATTCAATAATATTCATGCCGCACCATTACCGTAGAATGTTTATTATACCGTGTCATCGTCGTCCGTGAGGGGGCCACACCCCGGAGCCGCATGCTACCTCTTCAGACATGCCAGCACACCTTAAGGCATGTATGAGGGCCCTGCGCGATGCTCCAGTGGCATTGTTACCCCCCAAGGCCCTCGTCCCGCCAAACCCTGCAGCAGTTGACCAGGAGATCTAACCCTTTGACTTTTGCCAGACGGGCTTTGACCAATGGACCTTTCCACCCGGTTATGGTAGGTCAGCCCATAGGAACACTCCAGAACAAGGTCCGGGCCAAACCCACCGCAAGATTCCCTCCGTGTCGACGCGACGCGGACGTTACCCCCCTCCAGGTGCCGGCGGCGGCGTCGTCCGTGAAGGGGTTCACACTCTGAAGACGCGTGCCGGGTGTTGGCACCCGACACCACACTTCTAGACATGTAAGAGGCCCGGACGCAAGATTTGGCGGCTTGACTAGCCCCCGAAGGCCGCCGGCCACAATCGTAGACACACAAGAGCAATCCGCGTAGAGGGAAGTGTTCAGATACTTCTGCATCACCAAAAATTATGAAAAATTACCATCCGTCCTATATCACATGTTTCCACACCGTGTAAGAAATTCATGATTTTATCGCGCTCCAAGTATTCAATAATATTCATGCCGCATCGTTACCGCAGAACGTTTACTATACCGTGTCATCGTCATCCGTGAGGGGGGCCACACCTCGGAGCCGCGTGCTACCTCTTCAGACATGCCACCACACCTTAAGGCATGTATGAGGGCCCCGCGCGATGCTTCGATGGCATTGCTACCCCCCAAGGCCCCCGTCCCGCCAAACCCTGCAGGAGTTGACCAGGAGATCTAACCCTTTGACTTTCACCGGACGGGCTTTGACCAACGGACCTCTCCACCCGGTTGTGGTAGGTCAGCCCATAGGAACACTTCAGAACAAGGTCCGGGCCAAACCCACTGCAAGATTCCCTCTGTGTCGACCCAACGCGGCCGTTACCCCCCTCCAGGTGCCGGCGGCGGCGCCGTCCGTGAAGGGGGTCATACTCCGAAGACGCGTGCCGGGTGTTGGCATCCGCCACCACATTTCTAGACATGTAAGAGGCCCCGACGCAAGATTTGGCGCCATGGCTAGCCCCCGAAGGCCGGCGGCCACAATCGTAGACACACAAGAGCAATCCGCGTAGAGGGAAGTGTTCAGATACTTCTGCATCACCAAAAATTATGAAAAATTACCATCTATCCTATATCACATGTGCCCACACCATGTAAGAAAATCATGATTTTATCACGCTCCAAGTATTTAATAATATTCACATCGCACCGTTACCGCAGAACGTTTACTATATTGTGTCATCGTCGTCCGTGAGGGGGGCCACACCCCGGAGCCGCGTGCTACCTCTTCAGACATGCCAACACAGCTTAAGGCGTGTATGAGGGCCCTGCGCGATGCTTCGGTGAAATTGCTACCCCCAAGGCCCCCGTCCCGCCAAACCCCTGGAGCGGTTGAGCAGGAGATCAAACCCTTTGCTTGCTGGATCGATCAATATATTGCTGGATATATAAGCCATCTTGCTGCTGCTCGCTGAAGCATGCAGGAAAAAAAATGCTATTTGGCATATAAACCGAGTGTCCCATGGACATGGCACCCGGCTTATAGGCATATTATGCCATGGGGAGCTGTATAAGCCGAGTGTTCCAGATGCAAGCACCTGGCTTATAGGATATGTTTAACAGTGGATATCCTATAAGCCGTGTACAAAGGCACCCGGCTTATATTTAAACCGTGCAGCTTATGCAGACACAAGGTTTATATTTAAACCGTGCGGCTTGCTTAGGCACTCGGTTTATATTTAAATCGTGTAGTGCTCGTGGGCACTCGGTTTATATATAAACCGTGTGGCTTATGCAGGCACTCGGTTTATATTTAAACCATGCGGGTCAGTTAGGCACTCGGTTTATATTTAAACCGTGTAGCGCTCGAGGGCACTCAGTTTATACTGACGGTGACACGTGGCTGTTATCTCCCGGCTGCCGTCATGTTACTTTAGTAAGCCGTGAGCCTCGTATAAACACATGGCTTATACGTAAACCAAGTGTTTTCCCACTGGCACTCGGCTTATAGCGTATAGGCCGATCAAGTGTAAACCATGTCATACAGCTCCAGTTGCTTGCAAGTTAATGTACTTCTCCACTCTGAGAGCATGACTCTCGCGACCGCGGTCGTCCCGCGTGAGCGCGCGGCCGCCGCCGGCCGGATCTCCATGCTCCGGCCACCCCGCGTCTGCCGCTCCCAGATCCGGCCTCCACGTCGTCTGCTCCCCCTTCCCTCCTGCCAGGAATCAGGTGTGGGAGCTGCGCCCCGGCGACCCCGCGCCGTCACTCCCGTCTTCACCGGCAGCTCCCCGTCGGCCATCCCCAATGCTGCTCCACGCCCCAGCGAGCGTGCTGTCGCCGCCTCCCGCTGAGATGTCTGCTGGCTCCGCGCCGCGCGTCGTCCCGCAGCCAGCCCCGTCTGTTGCTCGATCCCATCTGGATCGGGCCCCGCCGGCGCTGAGCCGCTCCGTCCATGCTGTTAGCGGGTCAGGGAAGGTGCCGGTGGTGTCCCCGAGCAAGTTGGTTGCGCCTGTGCGTGCGCCCGCGCGGCTGCCCGTGCAGGCCTCTGCTGCGTCTATCTTGGAGGGCCCGGAGGGGATGTGCTCCCTTGTCGCCCCGCCACCGCATCTCGTCTCGGGTCGGCCAGATTCTGAGTCATGGACCTCTCTCGACACTGACGGCGACGACGACGATGAAGAGGAGCCGGCCCCTATGACACCGCCTGCTGCCAAGGCCTCGGCCCCAGTCGCTTCTCTGCCGGACGTGGTGGTGAAGGCGAGCGAGGGATGGCAGGAGGTGTTGCCCCGGCGTGGTCCGCGTCGCCCGACGTCGCTAGCCCCTGCAATGGCTCCCCGTCCAATCCCTGCTTGGCTGCACGGTAGATGTTGCAGATGCTTCGCTCCTGGGCATCGTGCGGCCGATTGCAGAGATCCGCTTCGGTGCTCCCGTTGCTTGCAGAATGGTCATTGTGCTCGCGGATGCCGCAATCCTTGGCGTCCTCTAAGTTCTTTGGCATGTCTTGCCATGCCTCTAGTGCTCGGTTCCAAGCGCCATCCTTCTCTAGCTTCATGTAAGGATGCAATGAAATCCGTGCTCCCTTCCAAGGCGATTCACCATGGGTCTTGGGCGTCTGTCATCTCTGCTACCGTTGGCTCAGCAACCCCACCCGATATGATGTTACGGTCCTCTCTGGCCGATCAGACAACATTGTTGCTGAGTTGTCTGGCACGGGTTCAGAGCTTTCTCGAGCGGGCGGAGGCTGCTCTTAGCAGGCTCTCCCTTCCACCGGCTAGGTCGCAGACCACTCTGATGTCATGCC